TTTCCATCCATTCCAAGACATTTCCACCTATTCTAGCCATTGATTGCAGCTTCCTAATAAGTCTCCCATGTGGAACAGTGTCAAACGCTTTCTGGAAGTCTAGGAATATGCAATCTGCCCAGCCCTCTCTTTCCTGTAAGATTTGGCTTACCTCATCATAAAATTCTAATAAGTTTGTTACTGTTGATCTTCCTTCTCTGAAGCCATGTTGCCTCACTGACAAAAAGTTGAAGGATTCCAAGTGAAGAGAGATATGTTTCCTTAGTAGTTTCTCCATAAGTTTGCAAACTATGCTGGTCAAGGAAACTGGTCTATAGTTCAGAGCCGTATCCCTCCTTCCCTTTTTGAAGATAGGTATCACATTTGCTTGTTTCCAGCATCTTGGAATCTCCCCCGACTCCAGTGACTCCTTAAATATGATACTTAGTGCCACTGATATTGTGTTTGCGCATTTTTTAAGCACATGAGGGGATATGTCATCAGGACCTGTAGCTTTATGAACATCTAAATCCATCAGCGCGTTGCATACCTCTGTGGCTGTAAGGTTGATGTTCTCTAATACCGGCCCTTGAGCTTCTATCACTGCAATCTGAGGGGGTGGGGTATTTTCTACTGTAAATACTGACTGAAACTCCTTGTTCAATTCTTTGCAGATCTCTTCGTCCGTCTTAGTGATGCTTCCATCCGCTCTCTTTAGCCTTAAAACCTGTTCTTTTACCTTCAGTTTTCCTCTGATAAAGCTGTGGAAAAGCTTGGGATTTTCTTTAGCCTTCCTGGTGATGTCCCTCTCATAATCTCTCTCTGCCTCTCTCCTTTTACTTAGGTAGTCATTTCTTGCTCTTTTGTAGGTTTGCCAGGCATTTATGTTTTTTCTCCTCCTATACCTTTTCCATCATTTGTCTCTCCACTCCTTAGCTCTTTTACACCCATTATCGAACCATTTCTCTCTGGCATGAATTACACCTACTTTGGTGACAGGTATGCAACAATCTACTATCTTCCCATATTTCTCACAAAAGATGTCATACATTTCTTGTACAGATTTGTTGCAAAATAAGGTTCTCCAGTCAATAACTGCAAAAAGCTCATTCATTTTGATGTAATCTCCTTTCGGATAGTTCCTCCTCATGTCCTCAGTGCCTCTACTCTCAGGAAGAATGTCTTCAATGATATACTCCATCAACAACACACAGTGGTCACTCTTTCCAATTGGTGGTTCATACTCAATATTTTCAATATCCAACACATTATCTGTGAACACTAGATCAAGTAGTGATGGCTCATCCCCACCCCTGGCTCTTGTTGGTTCCATTACATGTTGGTGTAGGAAATTCCCTTGTACGCAATCTAGGAATCTTGCCCCAAATGAGTCCTCACCACTGTGTGGGTCAAGATTTATCCAATCTATCTCTTTATGATTAAAGTCTCCCATAATCAAAATCCTACATTTTTTCTCCCGTGCCATGTTAACAACTGAGTTTATGACTTCAATAGTACCTATATGATTTTCCTCATAAATTTCAAGCCTATTTTGGTTCCTTGGTGGGTTGTATACAACAGTTATTATAATGCTCTCTGACCCAGTATTTATGCGAGCAACAAGAAATTCCCTGAACTCACTTTCTATAGCCAAGTTTATTTCTTCAACTTGAATCCTCTCACTTATGAGCAGTGCTATCCCTCCACCAGTCCTCTCAGATCTTTCGACCCTTAGTATTCTGAAGCCCTTAGGAAAAACTGTGACACTGTTTATGTCCTCACTCAACTTAGTCTCTGTAATTGCTACTATATCTGCCTTACTGTTGTGAATCCTATCTTTTAATTCTACTGCCTTACCAGCTAATCCATCAGCATTTGTGTATAACAATCTTAATGAGGCCCCATCCCCTGATCTTCTGTCATTATCTTCTTTATCTCCCCTTTGTCTGGAAGTATTCTGTAACGAAAATTTTTCTTCTCTTCTTCATTTCTTTCATCATTTAACCTTCTTGCCTCTTGCAACAAGTTTTTGATCTTTCCCATCTCTTCCTGTGTTCTGTATCGTCTAATGAACACTTCTTTGCATTCTTGAAGGTCTTTTAGACTTTTTTTTCTCAACAATATTTCCCTACATGTTTCCCCTCTCTCAAAGGTTACTTTTGTGTGTGTGTGTGTGTGTGTGTGCGCGTGTGAGTGTGTATGTGCGTGTGTGTGCGTGTGTGTGCCTGTGCGTGTGTGTATGTGTGTGTGTGTTTGTGTGTGCTATATCAACATGTAGAGTCATGAGAATAGATTACCCTTCCTAATTCAAGAGATCAGCATCTTGTTCCCACCTTAGAATTTTACATTTTATATGTAATTTCTTGAGATGCTTCTTGAAGCATCTATTCATCAGCACCTCTTGAAAGAAGAAATAAAAAGTAAAGGGTAGTGGCTTCCCTCCATCTTTCGAGGTTAAGTGAAGTCACTTTAAAAGTTGGAGGTCACTGATGGAACAGCATCCTCATAAGTAGTGCAAAAT